CATGAATGCATTCTTCTGACTTCGGGTCCAATTTTCTGCGTTGTTGTTTAGGCACGTGAACAAATGCCCTACAACCAAACACTTTTAAATAGGATAGATCAGGTTTCTTACCTGTGTAAGCTTCATTTGGTGTGACGTCTTTCAATGTTCTTGTCGGTGCTCTGTTGATCAAGTGGACAGCTGTATTTACGGCTTCTGCCCAAAACCTTTTCTTCAAATTGGCACCAATTAATAAGCAACGCGTTTTTTCTATGATGGTGCGGTTCATCCGCTCTGCAACTCCATTTTGTTCGGGCGTATGTGGAATCGTTGTTTGGTGACAAATACCAGACAATTTCAGCAGCTTGAGCAACCTGTTGTTGACATATTCAGTTCCATTGTCAGTCCTCAGAGTCTTGATTCTATTTCCCGTCTGATTCTCTACCATATTCTTGAATTCTTGGAAAACATCGTGTACTTCTGATTTGTTTCTTAGGAAGTAAACAAATACTTTGTGGGTGAAGTCGTCCACAAAAGTGAGAAAGTATTTTGATCCTCCCAATGAATTTTCCTCCATAGGACCACATAGGTCTGAATGGATTAGTTCCAAGGGTCGGCTTGAGTTCTTGACATGTGGCTTAAATGGTAGACGGTGTTGTTTGCCCTGCACACATACCTCGCAAGGTTCACTCAGCGAATTTTTGAAATTCGTTCCCGTAACGACCCCGTTTTTTATTCGGTTCATGCTGTCCGTTGACGGATGGCCTAGTCTACTATGCCATAGATGTATATTGTCAGCAACCGATACTGAGTTAGCACCGTGCACCTTATTTTTCGGTCGATCCAGTTTGTACATGCCATTCTTCAGTGTGGCACTGGCGATGAGGGCGTTGCTTTTGTCGTATATACTGCATTTACTGCTCTCAAAGTAGACCTTGTGCCCCTTATTGGTTATTTTGCTTACAGACAGCAAGTTTGTTGTCAAATCTGGCACAAACATAACCTCTTTTACGTTTATTTTGTCAGGTGTACCACCTGTACAAACGTCCAAATTTACCTCCCCCACTGCATCGACATTTAGACGATTTTTATTGGCTACTATAATTTCCTGCGTGGATGAAGGAGGTTTGCTTGCGGATGTCAGCCATGTTTTGTCGTTTGTTAGATGGACCGATGCGCCGGAGTCGATATACCATTCATTTTTTTCAACATGATCGTTTCCCGTTGACAAGACTGTTAAGAAGGATTTCGCTTCCTTCGTGTTGGAAGATTTGCCATTTTCTCTCTGCAGGCGAGCCTTTCGTTTAAAACAATTCTTCCCGAGATGACCAATTTTATTACATTCAAAACACCGTGGCCCATTTTTAGTATAGTTCTTCTTTTCGGCGTGGTTTCCGAAGAACGCTACTCCATTTTTGTTTGAACTGCTTGTATCGACCTTGACCTCTTGTAATAGTTTCACCTTGATGGAGTCACTGGTAATGGCGATACCGGAGCTTTCTAGTCCCATTATCATCGGGCGATAATGGTCTGGCAATCCAGCAAGTAATAACGTCCCGAGCCATTCATCACTTACAACAAAACCAATATTCGTCAATTTATGTCCTGTTGAAATAATCTTGTTAACGTATTCTTCTACGGAATCACAATTTTCCAACTGAGTTGTGATTAAGGTACGTAACAGGCCAACTCTTCGCGTAAGTCCTTTATCGTCGAAGGCCTTGATTAAATTTTCCCATGCCTCTTTCGCGGTCTTCGCATTTTGCACGTGGACATAGTTTATGGGGTGTATCGACAGGATTATTTTGGCCTTAGCCTTTGCAACTTGTTTTGCCGTAGTGTTCGTACCCTCAACACATTCCCACAACTCTTCATGCTCCAAATATGTTTGCATTGCGAATTTCCATGAGTTGAAGTTTTCGCGCCCTAGTAGTTTTTCGATCGGTGGTAGCGTGGACGCTGCCATTTTGTTGCCGGAACACAAAAGTTTTTATCACTGAGATATATCGGATTCACCTTATTTTTACACGCGGCCAAACAATCAGCAGTACCCTGGGCCCATAACCTGTAGCAAGGTTTTGCTTTATCCAGTGGAATTGATTGTTTGGAAATTATAGGTGAATAAAACTGAACGAAACGATTGAAATGTGTATTGCAACTTGGTGGTACATCAACTGAACTTACAGTGTCAAGTGCGCACATGCGCAAGCTTATGTCGGTAATACAGTTAGCAAAAGGGTAGTTTTCTATAATATCAACAAAAACAGATAGATGGAAGGACTTCTCTGCAAAGATAGACAATCTTCCATAAGCTTAGCAGCAAGATTTCAGAAAGTTCTTACAAGGACCTGTCTACTAAGAAGACACTTTACGGCTCCTATTAAGTACGCACTTTCCAAACTCTACTTAAATCCACGCTAAATATAAAACTAAAAACATTCGAAGTCAGAGGTAAGCAATTGTTACATTAATTAATGCGAAAATCAACGATTATTGGGTGGTCAGATGAGAAAATAGTACCATCAATGCTCTAAAGGACGCTAACAGCATTAAATTCGCATGAAGTGCGAGGTTTCCTAGAGCTACCGCAAAATAATTAGAGAACAGTTAACACAATGAAAGGTAATAAACTTCAAGTAAAAACCAAGGAAACGTTGGATTAATTTTCATAAAAAGCGATCGGAAGACTCCTCGCCGACCTAAAAACTGACGTAAGGCCAAGACCTACCGCTCGAAAAATGGAACGCCTGTTAACGCTAAAAATTCTTTCCACCCCCCGGCGCTATTTGTTCAGACCAAACACATCGAAAACCACCGACAAAAACGTATACAATAAATACTTAATAGGTACGGCTGAACCAACTTCTTCCTGATTTCAGCAAATTTTTCAAAGTCCCGTTTTCTTTTTCTTGGAAAGAAATCATAGAACAAAGCTGAAGCATGGCCGAAGGAACCTCGAAACTTGACTGAATTTTGCTTTCTGCGCTTCAGCTTTTATAGGGATTTAAGCTCATTTATTTTGTCATAGAAAAAAATTATTTGTTCACGACATCCATTTTTTCCAAAGTGATCTAATCCAAAGACGGAATTTTGAATTCACTGAATTAGGTGAATAACACACATCCTTTTGGATGGTCGAAAAGAGCGTTAATTTAGTTTGATCACTGATGAAATGAACAAAAAGGATAATTTTAACACTCAATAATACTGGTACACAACATAATAGTTACAGGTACCGTATTTGCTTCATTTCTGGAAAAATGAAACATTTTTTAATCAATGTTTTAAAGCAAAGGTATTACATACAACGAAGACAAAATCAGTCAAACACAATGAAATTTATATGGGTACATATATGATAAAATGCAAAACAGCTCTATAAAACACATTTGACGTCACATTTTTATTGCTACGTAATATGTCGACGCATGATGATTGATTTTATAATCCAACCTTTAAAGAAATACCAGGTTTGTAATAGTTGGTGAAAGAAAATTTAGCACATATTGAATAGGTAATATTTTGAATTTCTATTACTTCCAGAATTAGTCAGTTCTAGTGACACAGCTGTAAAATTCTCCGACAATGAGATTCGTCGCGCTGAGGAATATAATTCCTCATTTTATTATTATATCACAATCTACTTGTATTTTTACGGACGTTATTTTGTAACATGGACAATTAAGAATTGATATAGTTCCATTAAAAAACATTTTAATGACGTTATGTTGCCTCCACATTAACGCATGTAGGTAATCTGCAGATTCTGTGTTTATAAACATAAAATATAAAACATTTGAAGGCGCAAAGATTTGTCATGCATCGCTTTATTTTCGCTTCATATGACTGAATCAAAATAACACAATTATTGAAGAGAGCACCGGGCCCCATTTAAATAAATTACACCACACACACCACTGAGTAAAATATCTGTTTATTTCAACAATGTATATGAAATCAACATTGATATACTCTTTGCAACTACAAACCATCACAAATTGTGAGATATAAATTATTTATCATTTGTAACTATATTACTTCTTGTAAAAATTCAGTTTTAATAGTTACCTTCCAGTGACAACAAATAAAAACAGTGACAATAAATACAAAATATACAATTAAATATTTTTTTTTAAGAGATTATTGTAGGCAAGAGTGACTGACAGTTTTCATTTTTTTATATCTAAAATATTACACTCACAGATCTAAAAAGCTTACATTGTAATATTTACTTATGTAAGACGAAGTTTTACAACTTCTATCACAAAGAAACACCAATTCCTTGATAGATATTAATACCATTAATAAATTTATCCTGTCATCAAATGCATTATTATTTTAATTCGATTAACGGAAACATAAATTCAACAATATTATACAACGAAGTAATAAATAGGTACCTATTGTAGTTTATGCTATTTACCGATAAAACAAAATTTTGAGATTTCGAAAATAAGAGTATTGTATTATATAAAAGATGTTAAAAAAGTATGATTACTACTCTTTGTAAACTTGTAACAAAAATAGGTATCTACTTAACAATTTAGTTTTAAAAACCTGCGCTTTCTAACTTTCTTATTACTATCACAAATTAAAAATTGGAACTTTTTTATAATAGTCGACGATTTATAAGAAAACTAAATCAAGAATTAATTTTTCTTCCAATGAAACTCTTATATTACTTGGCACAGTTAAATATAGATAATCAAATTTTAATTTAGTTTTCTTACTAAATCAATTTTACATTAATAGCGGCGGTTTAAACTAAATTATAAAAACATTAAATAAAACCCTCAGAGTGCAAACCATTTCAATATATACAAATCATTAAGACATTACCCATCGTAGTAAAAAAAGTTTATGTACTTTACCACTGAAATACACTGATATATAATAAAAATATCAGAAAAATCTAACGGTATGTACAATATATAGATAAATATGTATAAAGAGCAAGTCAGTTAAGGCGCTACACATTATTTTTATCACATATAATAAAATTTGATACAGTTTTTCGCCACTTTATACAACACACACTGCACTAACTATCCCGACTTTTTGAGTGAAATCTTCTTGGCCATGGAAAAGGCCAATCAAACTGTCTTGGTATTGGACCCCCCACATTCCCTTCAAAATAAAGAAAGAAACAAAACCACCATTCTCGTCCCAACAAGTTATTTGGCGAATGTTGCTGAAAATAAACACGATTTTCAATGATATAAAATCACTATTAAGCAGCTTTTACAACTGCATAGATCGCAGCTGCAAACGTTACGTAAACATTACATACGATTACAAAAAAATTAATTCCACTCATCGCATTCCAGTTTCTGGAAAGCATCATAAATGTCAAAGTTGAATATGAATGAGTTGTTTAAGCAATTTTGTACATAGCGAGTGATTACTGAATTTTTTTTTTAATGTTAAAGATCAAATTTATCTGTTCATTTTCCACACAGCGTTTTGTTAATTTTTTAATAAGTACAAGCATATGTTGTGTTGTACCATATTTTTAAATTACTAATTTTTGAACTCTGATATTAATTTCAAATTTAGCTCTATTTTTCCTATGAATGAACATAAAACAAAATACATAAAACAGCGTGCTTAAGGCATGACGTCTTCAAGTAAGAAGTGCTCTGTCATGGTGAAGTTATAGCTACAACACCAATTTTTTTTCTAATTCATGAACAGTTGATTTAATCTTTAGTTCTTCAAAACAGAAAATGTAACGTAAACGTAAAATAAAATTTCTTGGTACACTAAAAAAATACGTACTTTGAGACTGATGTTGTTGGCTAGTGTGTGGTACGTCCAAAAAATCCTAGTTGTAATAAAATAAGCTATAATGACGTCTATAGTGTAGTGGCCGTGTGACAATTGAAGCATTACAACACCAACAATGCCCAGAACCCAATATACCCAATGTAATGGATATAATTTTTTCGGAGTGTCTGCAAATATTCTTACATTATCTTCTGTGTTACCATATATAGAGTGTTTCACTTACATTCCGCGATGACGAGGTAACTAAGTACTAAAATGACTGTATGTCCGCTATAAATAAAATCTCCGCAGTATACATGTTTGCCGTTGACGGATAATCCAAACCCGGACATGAGAGTAAGGACTCTTTTGGCTATTACTAAAGGAGAAGTTTCGTTTGATTTTGGTGAACAAAAGTACGTTGTGCTTGCCACAGGTAGCACGGTAACGTACATGGTTATGGACCGGTACAAGTACAATAGTGACATAATTAAGAATACCCTTCTAAAGACTATGAACCTGAAAAAAATATATCGTTAGAGAATTTAAACAATCACGAACGCAAAGAACTACCCAGAATTAAGGTATTCGAAAGTTAATTTTTTCATCATGTATAAAATATGGATAATAGGAAAATAATCCTATTTGGTATTTGATTAGATTCGCATTATGTGAAGTTTGATTACCTGTTTTTTTTCCTATAAAGACTAGAGAAAAAAATGATATTTTCTCAGAACAGACTGCACACTAACTTATAGATGACGGCATATTGTCCAGAGTTGTGCATTTTTGTCTCTTACTTACTCTTTTGAAATATTGGAAACAGTTTCAGAATATCTTGAAGTTTTTGTAAAATATTTCTCATTAAAAAGAACACACTAATAAATAATGATAAAAAAATGTAATTAATTACTAAGAATTTTACTATCTACTTTTGCGGTAATTTATCTTTTAGTTATCAGTTTTTATCTTCTTAAAATCTGAAATCTCAGAATATTTTATTTTCAACTGCATCTTTAATGTGAAATCTTGTTTAATGATTTTCTGAAATGATAAAATTGCTTATTTGGTTAAGATAAACATATTGATTTCGATGTATTGATCATCGCATTTTTTGGTACTGGTGTCTTTCAGGAAAATCAGATCAGCATCTGCGATAAGTGATAAAATAAATTAGCTCGTATACTTAGTACACTTTATTCGTGTTACCCATGTTTTCTAATATTTTAAATATTTTAATTTTATCATCTTCATAATCTGTAATTACCTAATCTTAAATTTTTTGAGATTACTCAAAAAACTACCGTGCTTATTAAAGCACGGTAGTTTTAGAAAATATCTCAGGAATGTTTCATTTATGACAGAGAGATAGTGTAGACAAATCTACACTTTCATAAATATTCGCTAAAATGATCTTATTAAAATATTTTCCTAATTATCGTCTAAGAACTAACAATGCGTAATGTTGTAAATTAATAATAAAATACTTCCACTTAGAAGTCATTAACTAATTTATAACAACGATAAAATGAAATTAGTTGTCAGTGAGACCTACGTTGTGTCCTGATTTTGAAAGGTTTATTTCGTTTTAGACATTTTTGTTTTTTGAAGAGTGAATTATCACAAATGTTATGACATAATCTACATAATTTTATTATGATTTTGAAACTCGCCGTAAATGATATTAAAGGTCATAACATTTGATTTGTTATATAATTATAATTTCGTCCGTCATTTTTTCGTTCCAATTTACATAGTTGCAAACATTCTTCAAAAGGGTTTTATTCGCTGGAAAATTATATTTTCAAAAAATAATTTATGGAAAAAGTAATAACATTGAAAAAAAAAACATGTTATTAAGCAGATTTGCTTTTCTTTTTTAGCGTTGTGTTTTTAAATAACTAAGATATTAAAGTGGAACGGGTAACTAGAACCCCCGGTATATTTAGATTGGGTCCATCACGTCCTGGTGTACACAGTAAAACATTAACCTACGAAAAATAACATTATTGATGATGTTGATGTTTATCATTCACTGGGAACAGGTTTGGCAACAATAAAAATAGTAAATTGTTGCTCTAATATTTTTGCAAATTTTGAGTATAATTTTATAATTTACAATATTAACTAGCTAAAATTATATTTCAGGTCAAGACAAAAATGGCAGCACCAAGTGTTGCTGGTTGTAATTGCGTAAATTGAACTGTCAAATCTATAAAACAGTTTTGTCGCCATCTTTATGATAATCATATCTTGGATTTCGGACAGAGGATGTCACTTAGAGACTATTTGCTTCCCGTCATTACCCCACTTTACAGTCTGTTTTTATATTTAGAATGCGAATCTTTCCACCAAAAAGGTTAACCGCTGAGTAATACCTCAATTCTGGGCGAGCTTTCGCTGCGACTTTTCTTACCTATGTTTGTGAAAAAACATAGTTATGACACACGAATTTACACAAATTATGATAATGTATTCTGAAACACTTAAAGCCCAGTCGAAAGCAGGTACGTTGTCGAAGAACACATCGGGAAGGGGACCATATACGCTACGATCTGGTAATCGTTCATGTACGAGTGCCAAAGACGTGAGCGTCAATACGAAGTTAAAGGCCAGAATTATCGCAGCTGAAAACGACAACAGAAAATTTTGTCAACGACATCATATCAAAGTAAACAAAAGCGATGGCATCATCACGACACAACAAAATTTACATACCTAACAGGGTTTTCCATCGTTCCTGAGGGAACCTGGGTTCCTCCCGTATGGGAGGTGGCATGTTGATTTTGATGACGCCATTGCTCTCGCTAGCTTTTTGTATGATATCGTCTTCGTCCTCGTAGTACTCCTGGCCGGAGGAATTGTGTGCGTTGTGGCCCCATTTGTCCGACTTTCCCGGATTAGGCAATAAAGGCTGTCTCTGATATAAATCTCCTGCGAACACGAAGATTAACTCTAGAAACTGAACGATTTAGGTAGTTTTCCGAATAATTGTAAAATAGTAAGTGTTCGATATATCGCCGTGATTTTCATTTTTAATTAAGTACTACTAATAAAGCTTGTCATTATGGTAAATGTTTTCTATTTTTTATACAATATAGCTCAGACGATTACTTACGAAAGTCCTTCATTGTAATTTATTGTGAAAAGTAAATCAGAGGAAGGTAAACATGTACTTCAAAAAAGACACTGTGACACTGTTAATCCAAATATTCCGTAATTATCTTAGCATGTGCTGCATTAGGTATGAAACAACTCACTTAAGTAAATATAAGACTTAGCGAAGTTATCTAATCTTAATTACGCACGTTCAATGAATTACAAAAGGTAAATAATGCAAATCAGTCTGATGAAGGTAATTATTTTTTTGTTAGTTGTTCCAAACTGCTTGAATGAACATTATATTTAAAAAGACCGCAGATCATTAGTGTATAAAGGTTAAACCATTCGACAAGAACTGTTCAAATTTTAGAATTAAAGAAACGAATGTTACAGAGTCCTTGTGAAAATTCGAAAATTCCGTTCTCATCGATGAGTTTTTTCTTTTTTTTTATAAAAATAAGTGGCAATAAGACTTAATAAAGTTCATTGTTATTAAAAATATCAAATATAGTATTACAATAATTTACCACTATTAAACTTGATATACAGGGTGAGTTACTAAGCGCGATTTCCTCGATATCTTATTAGTTATTAGAAATAGAAAAAAAGTCAAAGACCAAAGTTGTATGGTTCTTCGAGGAATATACTCTAAAATTATTTTTAACTATACAGAGTGTTTTGATTATAAGTGTAACACACAACTTAGTTTTTTTAAATGAAACACCCTATATATCTTTATAAAATTTTGATTGATTTCTTAGATTTTACAACCAGTTTATTTTTGAAATTCCAATGTGACATTGCGACGTTATTCCAATTTTCTTGTTTTTTTGGCAATGGAAAGGTCCACAAAAAAAATATAGTAGGGTTATTTTTAAAATCTGTTACAATATTTTGTAGAGGGATAAAGAAAGGTACGCCCTCTGTTGTGGCATAACTGATATTAAATTTTCATATATACTGCATTTTATTTTTTTGCTGAGTATTTTTCTATATTTACAGTGATTTTTAGAAGAATGAGAACAAAAAATAGAGTAAGATACAATAATGTAATATCGATACTTGAAAATTGTAAAGTTTTAGTTTTAAACACTCTGTATATTAAAATTGCCATTGCCAAAAAATTTCAAGAAAATTGGAATAACGTGGCAGCGTCGCATTGGAATTTCAAAAGTAAACTGTGGTTTTAAAGGCTAAGAAAAGCTCAATCAAAATATGTAGATTGTTTCAGTAAAAAAAACTAAGTGGTGTGTTACGCCTTTAAAATAGAGCACGCTTTATAGTTACAAATAATTTTAGAGTATAATTCTGAGAGAACCGTACAATTTTGGTTTTTGACTCTTTTTTCTATCTCTAATAATTAATAAGATATCGAGGCCCGCGCGCCCAGTGACAGCCTGTATGTACAGTGTATTCCACTTTTCATATTTTTTTCATTCATTCAAGGATTGTTTTAAAAAAAATGTAGGATGTTGAAGTAGATAAACAAGCTTGCTTTGTTTCAAGTAATATCTTCTTCATAAAATTTTGTGATAACGTCACCAAATCACGTCTAAGGGACGAATATATTAATTTGGCTAAACACAGGGTGATCAAAAAATGGCGCACTAACTAACTCTATGACATGTTGTCGGACTGTTTATTGAGCAAAGAAATAAGTTCAAAAATCTATTTCATAATCTAGTTCATAAATCTGACAAAATCTTTTTTAAAACCTACATATGTATCTAAATCAATATTTTGTTCGTGTAAGTGAACGTCAAATTGACGTATAACAAAAATAAATTGTTTTAATATTTTTTCTCTGACTTAGATTTGTGAAATTAAAAATGTACCGCTGGGTTAGTGCACAGTTTGTTTTATCACCTTGTATAAGTACATAATTCTATAAATGGAAGTGTACAAAAACACGCGTTATTCTCCTTATTTTAAATGAAATTAACTTAAGTTTCTTGCTCTATTTTAATTTTTTCTAAAAACCTACATGCAAGATTAATAATAAGGCTGGATTAATAAATCACAGGTGTTATTTCGCACATTTTAAATAGTGTTTATTTTGCAAAATTTTGAGATGATGTCACTGCATTTTTGGTGGTTGTGAGAGTTTTATCACCTACACGATATTCTTAAAAGAAACGTAAAATTTCACAAAAATTCGTCCTGTAGTTTCGGAGAGTACTTGTCTAATAAAATTGACAAAGCATACTGAAACGGAAGCCCTACTTTTTCCTACGATCAGGAAGAAATAAATAACATAACAAACTTTTAAAATGAAAAACTATGTACGTATTATATTTTGTGTTAACTATAAACGTGTTTTTAGGCCTATTTTTTCGAAATAAGCTTAATGAACAATTAGCATTTTTTTTCCGAGTTTTTCAAATTATTTAGGTCGGACACACTAGATTCAGTATTCTGTTTTAGTACTCTACAGACAGCCGGATATCAAGAAATTTGAATAATTTCCGCTGACCGTCCTTTGTAAGCCTGACTTTATTGTGTCGCAATCAACCAGCAGAAGTAAAAATTTTTAAAATTTGCCAGTAGCGCATAATACATAATATTTCAAAGTTCCAGCGTACAATATTGTGTAATTCATTAAAATTAAAAATAAAAATTTTCGTTCAAGTCAGTTTCCTCGTTTTCCGTAAAATTGTTGGTAAATTGATTACAAGTGTGGTGGCAGTTGATAAGGTTTATACTTATCTTTGAAGATTTGCGAAAAAAGTGACTTTACTAAGTTAGTTATCCAGGAATTTAAAGTAAACAAAATTTACTGTTATCAACAAATTATAAACTTTCTGAGCGAAGCATTTATTGTGCACAGGTTAGACAGCTTACTGCTCATATGAAATGATAAGTAGCAGAAGCAATACCCAAGTGAGTCACAGCGGAAGCTCTTGTCAAACTATTTGCTTTGTCTTTAACTTCATTGTTGTCACATTTGAAGTATAAATGTGTAGAAAATCTGTCTGATTCAAAAATATCCAGCGGTACCTGAGATTTGTACTTTGGTGAAAATGTAAAAATGTAATTAATAAATATGTATTATAAGTGATATCAGTGTGACGTCATTTGGACCCACGCTCACTTTCAGTAAGGGTATGTTTTACTAAGTGAGTTCCATATTATGATGTCACTTCAAATTTGGAGCATATATGCCGTGGGCAAGGAACTCAGCCAATGAAACTACATTGTCTAGAGTCTAGACAGTTGGATTAAAAAGAGGAAATTTTTGGGTTCGTTCACATCATATCTTGAGTTCAGTTAGTTTATAACAATATTTCTGTAACGACGCTTAATTAAAAAAAGAACTTCCAAGTAATAACATAAAAATTGAATATTGCCCCAATCACTTAAGTGGGTTTTTAATTAAACTTCCTACTACTTTCAAAAGTCAATTTATTACAAGGTTCAATACATTAAAAGAACTTTTTTGACAATACTTAATTACGTGTACACACGAAGTTATTGACCCAATAATAAATAGAAACACTGCCAAAACTTTTTTAAAGAAATATAACTTGCAGCTTTGAAACGAATCAAAGTATTTTAATAATAAAAATTGCGGATAGGTGGGCAACCGGTCATAATTACTTTTGGCATAGAGAGAAGAATAAAACGGGAACAAATATTGACAACTGTGTTTAAAAAACATCACACCACTGGTGACGTAGTTAGATTTGTTATTGGCATACACTAAGTAAAAATAAACAAGAACCACTATATAATCAGTTAGTAGATACGTATGAATCGCTTACCAAAAACATGTGTTTTTAAATTTGGTCTGTTTGTCGGGGGTCTGACTGTAAGAAACATGATCTGAGATAATCGAAAACTTCCAAACCACCCTCATTATTGGTTTGCTCCGCTCTGTTTGCTCACAAAAGTAGTTTCCGTTTATCCCAGAATTATTGTACTCTTTGTACGTATCGAATGCATAAGTTATTTTTTATGGGGATATGTGTGGATACTTTCATCGACTCTTAACTAATTTGTCTCTAAATTAATTCATACTTTTATATTTTTAAATATTGTACATCATAATGATATAGAATACCAGATGGAATAAAATCTTATACAACAAATTATAAGTTTAGTTTTCCTTTACTCTATACCTACGTTATTGTAGAAGCCACATGACGTAATCAAAGACTTTAAAAGTGCCTTTACACTGCATGATTTGTCATATGACTTCTCATATGACTTCTCCTAGTGCAGCTTTTTTCGTGTTTACACTGTATGATTTCTCATATTACTTGACCCATAACACAAATCATAAGAGCGGTCATAAGCAAATCATAGCAGATTTCCAGAATAGGACGGGGTCTATTTTGAAGAGAGTTCTCGTACGATAATTTTAAATTTCGCGCGTTTTTCAAGAAATTAAAATAAATTGGTGTTGAAAGTGAGGTTATTATAGATCGACCGAGCCTCTGATCCTAGCCCGTGAAACTGTTTATTTTACTCGAGATCTTTATTACGTCTCGATTGCTTTCTTTTTAATAACCCCACAATCAAGCACAGTAAACCACTTTGATATTTTGCCACTTGTTCACTATTCATTGTATAAAATTTTCACTACTACACACAATTCTTAAATTTAATGTGAGGCTAATACAAAAAATATCCAAAGTCAAGCAAACGTGTTTCGCTTCCCCCAAATGTTAGGTTAGGTTATAGTCGTTTGACAGTGACACTTTGCTCTCACCCCACCACGCTTCAAGTCGAACGAAAAAATCATATGAGAAAGCACAGCAGTCTAAACTCAAAATCTGCAAATGGTATGATTCCTTGAAATCATACAACTTATCATACGATTTGTATTAGCAAAAGTCATATGACAAATCATGCAGTGTAAAGGCACTTTAATGGAACCATATCATATTTTCTAGTGGACGTTAAACCACGCACATGATTACGATAAAACTGTTTGGTTTTATACTTGGCGTTAAATAGAATTAAGTTCGTCAGATGGACCACCAATTGCGAAATTACGCTTATTTCTGTTTTCGAGTGATAGAAATATTAGCTTGAGCGATTAGAATCATAAAAGTGTTTACACGAACAGTAGTAAGTGCCACTGAGTCCAGTTGTTTCATGAAGATTGAGAAAACCTGCACAAATTCGAAACAAAACCGTCAGTGGTGAATAATACTTTGATTCATGTTATTAACAAATAATTCCTGGAAATCACCTTCACAATTTATAATTTTCCTTGCAGATTTTGACGAAAACGAAATAACTATTATCAAAGATTACGAAAAGACAGATTATTATATTTAACGTTGTTTTCTGGTGAAACCTGGCTTCAGTTATTCGACTGAATGAATTCCTAGAATTTTTGATTTTGGAGTGACATAATCGTATTTTTTCTACCGCCCACGTTTTTTGGTTTTCTAATAGAGCTATTAACGCACGCAAATGACGTCACAGCAGTTCGTTAATAGCGGAAAGGCGTTCTTTAATAGATCTGGTGTAATTTAGATCGGTAAGATTGGTAGCAATGACGAGAAATGTCAGGTGAATGTCAGTGGCAAATCTAAACTTACAATTTCCCACGTTTCCGGACGCGTAACTTCTTCGCAAGACATTTGAACCAATTTTAAATTACAAAAACTCGAATTGATTCGAATTACAATTGTTGTTGTGAAAATTCGAACCTCAAATATTTCGTGGTTAGTGTCAGACCGACCCATCACCAACCACGACAAAAGTCCCCAGATTAAAAAAAATGCAAATTTCAATTAAATTTTGGGAAAAAACGTGTGCGGTAGAAAAAATAGTATAAATAACTCGTTCATAAGGCCATTGAGGCACTCATCCTTTATATAACTCGCGGCTTCGCCGCTCGTTCTATAAACTTGGATTCGTGCCTCAATATTTGCCTTATGAAACTCGTTCTTTAATATACTATTTTTGTCAAAATTGTATCCAATTAGAGCGGTCGAAGCACCAAAAAGAATAAGTGTATCAATATTTTTCCACGATAATAATAACTACAAGCACTTCTGGAATTATTTGTTAATTAACCACAACACAACGAACTTTGGCTAGGTCATTTCCAACAACATGATGCAACAGCACGAATAGGATTTGTGACAATACGAAATTTCCGTCAACTTTTTACGATCGTCCTCTAAATTGACACGATTTGATTTTTCAGTCTTACGCTATCAGATGAATTAAGAACTGCATTTTACAGTTCAACAAATTCTTCAAAACAGTGGAAGGTAAACGGAGAATTGAAAGTCTGTTTGACTGTTTTTGTCAAAAATATATTAATATTATTCTGCCAAAATAAAATTCGAAGCCAATAAAAACAGTGAGGGAAGGATCACGAACTATATTGCGACTTTGCGATTAAGCCACGCTCTAATACCAGTATAAAATTTTCACTACATTTGCACAACAGTTATTGTGTTTTATCCGTACAATTTAGCTTTTTTCGGACAACTGATTTTTACTGCAACAAGGTGGCAGACAAAAAGCGATATCATAATCATATATAGAAGCTTTGTGTTCCGATAGTGATTATAAAACGTAGCTGTCAATTTATCAGAATCGTAAATTAATTATAAGACCCAAAATAAAAAAAAAATCATGTTTTTAGAACAGACAAGAACATCTGCTCAATAACTACAACAAAGAATTGCTTGTTTACAATATTTTATATGGAGTTGACTTGTATGTATGTATATGTAGCTGTGATAAAATAAACATATGACTAATCGGTTTTCAATCGATATTCTTTTCTGAAGCTAACTATTTGTCATCTTACAGGAAAATAAAATCAGTTATCTGAGTTCGTCGAATTGTTGGCATCCAACAACATCATGTTCGAGCAATTTTATGAAAACTAGCTACAAATGTGAACTATTCGAAAATGTATTTTTGTTAGGACCAGAAGTCAAACGTGAACTTACAACAAAGCCATAAACAAAATCTAAGAATAACCCTCAAATATACACAATGTTATTGTTGCCAGGACCGTTTCATGTCGAACATAAAATAAACGTTCATGTGGGTACAATACCTTGCGTCATATTCGTTCCTTTGGAGGTATTTGGCAGTTCCTCGTCGTCAAGAGGAGGTAGAGATAGGACCGAGCGTGGGCTCAATAAGGCATGTGAAGAGTTATGCTGTTGAAGCTGAGGCACATCTGCTGTTGGATGGATACTTCCATAGTCAACGAACTTGGGCTCTAATACCATTCTGTAACAAGAAAAGCGACTAATTAGATCAACGTGTATTTCCGCCTTCTTGCTGTTTAAAAACAGAACTAACCTCGCGCATTAAAACAAAACATAATGGAATCCGCAACACAGAGCGATGCTGAATTAGTCTGGCAAAACGCGAGAGTGTGCAGTTCCTGTTTCGTTTCAGTTCAGGATGTGGGGTTGTGTCGGTTCTCCAACATTACCTTTTTCATTCGAACATCAACTTATTAACGTCACTACGATTCGGAACATCGAATCATCTTATTTTTTACTGCCGTCTGGCCTCGTTATTACCACTTAGTTGAAGTGTAGTTCCCGTAATGAAGGATTTAATTAACTCTCATTATCGTCTGCGCACAAATATCAGCTTAATTGCAAAATTAACGGTAGCAGTCGTAATGGAAAGGTGACTAACTTAAATAATGTTGATTTTTGCGAACGCGATAACGTTTGTTTGTGTACCTGAATTTTAAAATAGGAGGTAATATAGAAGTTGCAAAACCCCACACTGTGCACTAGAATGACAGCTGCACAATATCTAAATGTAATCTAAATCGATACTTTTCAGAAAGAATAAAACTTCTATTATTTTGTTTACCTAAAAATAGACGTTGGGTTGGTAGACGAAATACCATTTGTGTGAATTTTGCGCCGTCTTAAAACACTGCCTAGAATTTATTATTTAGACTTTTACATTAAAATTAAACTAGAAATCTCGTTAAGTGGCTATTGTTCGCACTACAATTAACAATTAAGTTCAGGTTATACAATAAATTACAAATGTCCGTTGAATTCCGTTTCTGACTTTTGTATCTAAAGAAGCGAAATTTGAATTGCAATGTGGGTGTAATAATAATTATTGTAAGCCGTATTTTCTAGGTGTTGATTTTAAAACCTATGTAACTTTTTTCTATTCAAAGACAAAAACAGGTACAGAATAAATTCAAACATAAAATAATCTACAAGAACTTAGAAAAGCATCGAACAGATTTATTATGTAAATGGTTCTGCAATTTAAATTTTATGGGATGTTAGTACACGTACTGATGCATCAGTGATGTTTTAGAAAGTTTTTATACGAGCGGATTCATAAACCACGACTACAGGAGCATATACAAAATTTAGACAACTTTAGTGCGCAAATGGATGAGAAAACGTCATCAAATTGTTGATGGGGACGATTAAATACATTTTGATTAGCGTTTTACCATCTACACGATATCTTAAATTGCATAAAATAAATTGACAAAACTGGCACTGACTTGAACCTGGCCCGATCTATTTATTATCTCAGGTTTAACACCACCAGATTGATACTAAAGTTTTAAATAATCGTATGTAGGTGTAAGCTGTATTCAAACAAATCTCCACGCTCGTACACCCAAATTCCATTCTTTCAAACAGCATGTCAGAGGTGTATTACTTTTCTTTCAAACGCTTTGTAATTTTTTTTTCCTTGTTCTTTTTATTAAGTTCAAAAATATTCCTGTTAACTCGTTTGTAAAGTAATTCGAAAAAGCGTGCAAAAACAAAAATTCTTAAATACGACAGAGACAATTTGAGAATTTAGGGTTTCTTTTTACTTACTTTTTTTCCATAAAATAAATTTTCCACGAGTTACTGTTATGATTTCCTAAGTCGTTATTAGTGTCTAATTTATTCCATACCCTGTATACGCAGGTGGTTAAAGTACACAATTTTTAAGTTTCCTGCCTGTTCTATACATTAATATAATTTTCTGCTCAGAAGAAAACAAACGAGAGAACCTTCTAACGGAATTAAATTTTTTATTTTTTAAATTAAAAATCCATTATTAAGCCTGTACAATTAAGGTGGCATAAACGATTGTGTAGTTAAGGAAACATTAAAAATTTAGCACTTGACTCACCTCGTTCAAACACAATAGAGAAATACGTAATTTTTAAAACGTCTTTTCACCTAATCGTGCGATGTGTCTTTGAAAATAAATATTTTCCATCACAGCGACAAAACAATAATGACCCTCATCTGGAAACTGAGTTAATATCATTATGTTCGGGTGCTGGTTTTGTAATAAAAAAGTGATAACATCAAAAGTTGTATGTTACATGAACATAAAATTATAATTCTCATTGAAAAATCAACGTGTGATTAACATTTACGTCACTTCCTCTTAGTTGCTATCACCTTCGCTATAAAATAGTACGAAGCCGGAATATCCTGTAATCGTGTATCTATCTATAGGCAAGACAATCTGTTTACGCAAAATAACCCCAAAAATAAATATGATATGAGGAAAAGGAAAATAAATCGAATTGAACAGCTGTTTTTCGATTTATATATAAATATTTATCTAATGATAAAAACGGAAAACTTAAATTGGATATTTGACCTTTTTGTTTTGTGGTGTTCGGTGGTTTTGTTCGAAAATTTACGTTTCCAGTAGTAAGGTTGATTATGAAACCAAGTCAAAACCAGTGTCAATTTAAAATCAATTTAAAAATCACTTCCATTTTATTATTTAGGAAACACTGAAAAATGTCCTTAAATAAACTTAATTTACAATCAATTGCTTACCAGACAACCAAAACACGTTGTAAACACAAAACCAGGTAAACAACTTTTTTTATTCATATTTAAACAAATGTTATTTTGTTAGTAAATATTATATTTTCTATTTATTTAATAACTAATTGTATTTACACATACTTCACCGTTATATCTGAGTACTAGCATCTAGTGTATATTGTTTAGATAGTGCTTAGAATAATAGGTAAATAGTAAATAGTTGAAGTCAGCAATAAACAATCTATATAAAATAAAATATATTCATTTTAAGGAAGTAAATGTTAATGTAAAAGTATAATTTAATTTATAGTTTCACAAATATTTTCAACAACTAATTTGTGTTTGACATTGCTGTTAATAATGTTTATTTTTGCTGTTAAAATCTAGCTTTAACAAATTTGTTGCGCTTGCCAAACTAGTAGTAAAAACAAACACCAGTAAATACACACTCAACAGAATAACTGAGTATATCCAAATTGATATAAATTTATTTTTTCGGAACGATCGAACTACGAAAATAATTTAGGCAAACAGAATCGACAAGAAACGACTTAACGAAATTACCAGTGTTGAAGAAGGTGCCTACAAGATTTATTATTTTCCGGAAAAAACATAAATAATAACCCGTGTAACCGCACCTTTATAGGAAAGAAATATTGCGGTTTTTGAAAAGAATACAACGTAAAATTTATGTCGGATCGTCGACTAGACCCAGATGGGAAAAACTTTTCAAAACATAATTATTATTGAACGCAAAGTTTAGTGTTACATTCCAGCGACGATAAATGTCACTAGTGTTAAGAAAAAATATTTAACTAATAACTAATATTTTCTTGAAAATTTGGTCATGTATTTTCTTACTACAAATTTTCGTATGTCCATTTTCTTGAGTAATTATTTTTATGCAGGTGCCAATTCTTAGCTATTCTGATCTTTCAGGTAAGATTACATATATTTAGGTATATGTGACTTTCATTACATTATCGGCATACTGAGTGTTTAATAGAATAGCTCACTAACACGTGTCACGTTGATTTACACGCTGACCTGACCTGACTGACTACACACGACAACCTACGGGGATCAAAATAGCCTACCTATCATTAGACAAAAATATTCACAGAGTTTTTGGTCCCTAGTGATTGTTTTCTTTATTTTAGAGTTATGTGGAGATAAATAATAAGTTGAAATAAATGCTAACAAAGGTAGTGCATAAAAAGTGATAGTGTGGTAAAACACCATTAGTCTACCCATGAATCTGTTTGAAGACGAAATCGGCACACTTATTCAAAATGGAGTAATATAGTAATTATGTAATTTCTTGTCCAACATTTTGTTAAAAGAATTCTAATAAATCAAATAAGATCAATTTAAATTAAATCATTTCTCGATACCTTTTAATTATACGAGTTAAAGTTTTAAAGAGTGAAAGTATACACAAATAAAATGGGAGTATTTATTCATGAACATAACCACTTAACTGCAACTTAATGAGGTTGTCGAGACTCATAAAGTAAACAATTTTATCGATAATCTATATTTTTGATGAGAACATTGTCCTTTTCACATAAATAATGCTAACGTAAACACAACTTTCACATTATTGGGGAAATTAAACCGTCCTATTTCTTTGATCAAAAAAAGAAAAACACATTTTTCGGGTGCGATATAATGAAGTTATTTAAACAAACTTTCAAGAGTTTGCTATCCTGTTAGCGTTATTTATTTTAACTTATTCAAGCTATAAATAGTAGAATGCAAACTTTTGATATGGCGTTTTCAAAACATTTTTACCTTTTGAAGTTTTTTAAACTTACGTTATTTTAAATTAATGAAAGTTTTTTTATTATACCCAATGGAATATCAATAAGAAAAAAAAACGAGTGTACTTAAGACCGCACGGTTGAAGTAAAAACTTGTATGGCGATCGTAATCAATTCGAATATGTTACATATATTTTTACGGATGATATTAGTTCGATCAAGACATAAATTATAAAACAAAATTGTTTATTTTATTTCGTATTATTTTCATAACCATTATTAAAAATCTAATAACGAAACAATAGGACATCTTTAAATTCAATGTGGTTGTTAAAAAATCAATTATAGGCTTTGATTCTTGTTTTGCGAAATCTACATTGAAATTCCCACTCAAAGCCATGGCTAATTTATGTAAGTCCCGACTGAGCAGCGTCGACCTTAGTGTTGTTTATAAAAATGTGCCAATTTTCATGGATGATGATTATGATTATTTATCCATTTTCCGCTTCACATTTTGTTACACACATTTCTCCAAATGATGATTTGTTAAAGCCATATGATTGAGAATTATTGAATTCGGCGTAAGTAGGTAGGCAGAGGAACAGATGCACTCGTTCGGCTCGCAAATACGAGGATACTCGAAGGCTGACGGAGCAGACTCATTCACTTCAAAATTGTGTGCGAG